GGGAGGGGGCGCGGGCGCGGGCGCGGGCGCGGTACCTTCGCAGCGCTTCCCGTCGGGGCTCAGAGCGAAGCCCTCCGCGCACGAGCACACGCGGGACCCGGGCTCCTGCCCGCACAGGCCTCCTCTGCAGTGACCTTCGCCCGGTTGGCAGAGCCGCGGACCTGGAAGACAAGATGGTTGGTTTGCAGTAGCGGTGGGTTTGACAGGGACAATGCCCCACTCCTTCACGGTTCTTAGGACGCATAATCTCCCGGTGACATCAGCAGGACTTCCTTGCTCCGGGTCACACCGCTTTAGCCCGACCCGCAGCATCCCAAGGCCCGTCTGTTTTTCTTTTTCTTTTTTTAGATTTATTTTTTTTTAAATATACCTTTATTGATTTCAGAGAGAGGAAAGGAGAGGGAGAGAGAGAGATAGAAACATCAGTGATGAGAGAGCCATTGATCGAGCCCGCAACCCGGGCATGTGCCCTGACCGGGAATCGAACCCCCATCGCCTGGATCCCAGGTCGACGCTCAACCGCTGAGCCCCGCCCTGCCCGCGGTCTGTTTTGCTAATTGTGTTACTCCTGCAGAAGCCCTCAGGATAGGGCATCCTAATTAGCCCGAGCTGTCATTGATTGGGTTACAAACACTAAACACAGCTTGGCTTTTTTTAATTCGGATTTAGTTTTATAAAACTATTTTGTTAAAAAAATAATAATAAAGTACATAAACAAAAATCCTGTAAATGAAATATCTCTTTACAAAACAAAAGAGCTTCAAACCTAAGAACATCTGTTCTTAAGTATAATATTTATGGGTCCATCTATATAATTAGTTGTTTTTAGGATCACTGTTTCAAGAATGACATCTTTCAAGTTTAATAAATACCATTGTCATATGTCTTCTCCCCAGTTTTCTGAGTTTATTGCTTCCAGCGGTCCATGTTTTACAAAGTAACCCAGGGCAAATAGTAAAACCTGCTCAGCGAGGTAGGTGCTTGGGTTGAATTAGCCCAATATAATAAACAACAAATGGCCAAGGTGGCACCTTTGGCTATGAGAGCCGGAGTCAAGGGCCAAACAAAGAACACGGATATCTCTGCTCAAACTGGGCTCCTTCGTACTTTGCCAATTTTAACAACGGCAAGGCCACAGTAAAATGCTGTAGAAAATACTAAGATAAGCGTGAGTATTTTTCACAGGATTAGAGTGATGCTGAAGCTGGGAATCTTCACACCACACTCTGAGAAACACCAGCCTAATAATGTTAGTTCCCTACTTATTTTAAACTTGTTTGTTCCGATCTCTTTACCAAATTAAACGCACAATTTTGCCAATTATTCAATACTGTTGGAATAAGACCCACTAAGTCAGTTAAGATTTATGTTAATTAGTTTTTTGAAGGTATTAATTCAAAAATTTTGTTTTTTGTTCATGTTTTTTGTGCCGATTGAGAATGTATAGCTAAATTGTTTTTCAAGTTCCTACATGCTTCACATATCAAAATTAAATTAAGCAAAATTAAAAATAAAATGACCCCCAAATTTAAAGAAAATGACTAAAATTAGAAACATAACTTTACTGGAGACAAAATATGCCCAGCTGCAAATTTTTTTAAATGTAATTTTTTTAACTTAATTTATAAAGTTTTCAAGTGAACAACAAAAATCCAGGAAGGTCTGATTTAATCTTTTAATGGCACCAAAGTGCTACTGCTTTCTTGAGGTAACAAAAAATTGAACTATTATACTTCTTGTAAATATCCCTTATAAAAATCTTTCCAAACCCAAAATGGTACATGACCACTGGATTAAGAATTAGAAAAACAGTTCTGTCTCGGTTCTGCCTTTTATATTGAATCACTTTTTTTTTTAACCTCAGTTCCCTAATCCATGAAATTGAAGAGTTGTGGTAGATATTCTCTGAGATTTCCCACTTAAAAAAATTTTTTATTGTTCTATACAGAGTCAGATGTTTGTGGTACATTCCTCTAATTATACCTCGAAAGATTCTCAAACCTCAATTACTGCTAATAGTGTCTTAATGGAGATTCAAACTGACTGATGAAGAAAATAATTAGTGTCTAAGGTATAGGAAATGCTCTTTCTTTCATCTAGATTCAATTTTTTATTTTTGGTACTTTTATACCACCTCTCACGTTCCCTTATGTGTGTTCTTATCATCATCATCACAATTATGTATTTCGGTCTTTTTTCCATTAATCAATAAACTTCTGAGGATGACGCACATGTATATTCCATTCACATTTATAGTCCCACTTAGTACTTGGTTAGGGTTAGGGTTAGGGTTAGGGTGTCTTTTACAACATAGGTGTACTATGGACACCTGGAACCCATGCCCACAAACCTGTGATTGTGTCATCTGCAACTGAATTCCTTTCTTTGATTTCTCCTCTAATTTCCAGTCAATCTTATTGTTAGAACTCAGATGGTCAGACCATGCTAGCCCACTACCCTTTCCACTATGCCATGCTGCTGATGGTTTTAATAACCTTGTTAATAATATATATCACTCCTCAAAGATGAGCATAGGCAGGAAAGCAGTCACTGTTTTCCTCTGAATGTGCTAATGATGTGACCTGAATTCAGACACTAAACACTTTAAAAGGTCATTTTAGGAAGTGGCGAAACATAGAGGTTTGAGGGCTATATTTTTGTTTAATCTCCTTAATCTTCTGCTGCTCTTTAGCTTCAAATTAGGCTGAAGCTAGCACTCAGAATGCTGTTGCTGACCTCAGATAATACCCCTTCCCAGAGCCCAGAAGTGGGGCTTAATTACCTTTAAGATCAAGTTAAAGCTCCTAATCATGGAGTTTAATGTCCACCACCAACTGTTCCTTCAATAACTACCTGGCTAACACACAGGCTCTCAGGAGCTTTACTACAGCCAAGTAAGTCTATAGATTTCACCCTGGCCCAGTTCAGAAACAATGGGCATGGGTTCCTTATCTTGTTTTTTTTTCCTCCACTAACCACACCTTTATTCTACCTCGAACTCAGTGTAAAACTTGCCTCATCGACAAAGCCTTACTAGTCTCTTCAATTTGGACCCATTCACTTTAATCATTCTTGTAACTAAATATTTAACACTCCCAATAAGTAGCGGATATAATAAAAATTTGAACATTTATAAAGCACTTACATTGTCACAATTAATTCTCATAACAAGCCCTTGAGCTATGCAGAGCAAGCATTACCTTTCATTTGACAAATCAGAAAAAAGAATCTTAAGGATCACGTACAGGTAATAAGGGGTAGGACTTGGACTAAGGCTCAAGCCTTCCAATGGTAGAACCCATCTCTTTACCATATATACCTCCTTTTATTGTGGTCACTTTATTGTGTTTTGCAGTTATTGGGTTTTTTATGAGTTGAAGGTTTGTGGCAACCCTGGGTAGAGCAAGTCTAGCAGAGTTCTTTTTTCAACATTTGCTCACTTCCTTTCTCTGTGTCACATGTTGATACTTCTCACAATATTTAAAACTTTTTCATTATTATTATATTTGTATATTATTTCTGATCAGTATCTTTGATGTTACTATTGTAATTGTTTCCAATAATACAGCGAACTTGATTGATGTTGTATGTGTTCTGACTGCCTTGCTGACTAGACGTTCCTCATCTCCCTCCCTTTCCTTGGGAACTTCCTATTCCCTGAGACACAACAATATTGACGTTAGACTAATTAATAACCCTACAATAGCTGCTAAGTGTTCAAGTGAAAGGAAGAATCTCGTATCTCTCACTTTAAATCAAAAGCTAGCAATGATTAAGCTTAGTGAGGAAGGTATGTCAAAAGCTGGGATAGGTCAAAAGTTAGACTTCCTGTGCCAAACAGTTAGCCAGGTTGTGAATTTAAAAGAAAAGTTCTTGAAGGAAATTAGTATTGCTACTCCATTGAGCACATGAACAATAAGAAAGTGAAACAGTCTTATTGCTGGTAAAAGAAAGTTTCAGTGACCTGGATAGAAGATCAAACCAGACACAACATTCCCTTTAGCCAAAGCCTAGTTCAGAGCAAAGCTGTAACTCTCTTCAATTTTAGGAAGGCTGAGAGACATGAGGAAGATGCAGAAGGAAAGTTTGAAGCTAGCAGAGGGCTTGCTCATGAGGTTTAAGGAAAGAAGCCATCTCTATAACATGAAAGTGCAAGGTCTGAAGCAACAAGTGCTGATGTAGAAGCTTCAGCAAGTTATCTAGAAAATCTAGCTAAGACAATTTATGAAGGTAACTACACTAATCAACAGATTTTCAGTGCAGACCAAACAGACTTAGATTAAAAGAAGATACCATGTAGGACTCTCACAGCTAGAGAGAAGTCAATGCCAGGCTTCAGAGCTTCAAAGGACAGGCTGACTCTCTTGTTAGGGGCTAATGTAGCTGGTGACTCTTGCAGCTAATACTCATTTACCATTCTGAATATCCTAGGGCCCTTAAGAATTATGTTAAATCTACTCTGCCTGTGCTTTATAAACAGAACAATAAAGCCTTGATGACAGCACATCTGTTTACAACATGGTTTACTAAATATTTTAAGCCCTCTGTTGAGATCTCCTACTAAAAAAAACAAAAAGATTTCTTTCAAAATACTAATGCTCATTGACAATGCATCTGGTCAACCAATAGCTCTGATGTAGGTGTACAATGAGATTAATGTTGTTTTTATGCTTGTTAACACAATATCCATTACTCCTGTATCAAGGAATAATTTTTACTTTCAAGTCTTACTTACTGTTCAAGAAATTTCATAAGACTATAGTTGCCATAGGTAATGATTTCTCTGATGAACCTGGGCAAAGTAAATTGAAAGCCTTCTGGAAAGGATTCACCACTCTAGATGTCATTAAGAACATTCATGATTCATGGGAAGATGTCAAAATAGCAACACTAACAGGAGTTTGGAAGAAGTTGTTTCCAACCCTAACAAATAACTTTGAGGAGTTCAGCCTTCAGTGGAGGAAGTAACTACAGATGCAGTGGAATTAGCTTGAGAACTAGAATTAGAAGTGGAGCCTGAAGATGTTACTAAATTGGGGCAATCTCATGATACAACTTGAACAGAAGAGGAGTTGCTTCTTATGGATGAGCAAAGAGAATGCTTTCTTAAGATGGCATCTACTACTGGTGAAGATGTTGTGAAGATTGTTTAAATGACAACAAAAGATTTAGAAAAGTACATAAACTTAGTTGATGAAGCAGAAGCAGGATTTGAGAGAACTGACTCCAATTTTGAAAGAAGTTCTGCTGTAAATACTATCCAATAGCATCACATGATACAGAGAAATCATTTGTGACAGAGTCGACCCATGTGGCAAACTTCATTGTATTTATTTAAAGAAACTTCCACAGCCACTCCAGCCTTCAGCAGCCACCATCCTATTCAGTTAACAGCCAACATCATCGAGGCAAGACCCTCCACCAGCAAAAAGATTACTACTCTAAAGGCTCAGATGGTGGTTAACATTTTTTAATAATAAAGTGTTTTAAATTAAGTTACAAACATTGTTTCTTTAGACATAATGCTATTGCACACTTTATAGACCACAGTATGGTTGTAAACAAACTTTTATATGCACTGGGAAACTAAAAAGTTTGCATGACTTGCTTTATTGTGATATTTGCTTTATTGCAGTGGTCTGGAACTTAAAGCGCAATATCTCTGAGGTATGCCCAGTATATATTTGTATAACATATATAACATTATATATATATATATATACACACACAATGTATTATATATAATATATAAATATAAAAATTATATATAAATAATATATTTTTCTATGAACCCCAGAGTTAAATTTTTGTTTTATTTATTATCTTTCTCATTAGTGAGTTCCTGAATAAACAACTTCATAAACTCCCTTAAAAAAATTCCCAAACTGTATAATAGAGAAGTTTATTTATTTTTGTTAATAGAAAATAACAAGGAAGAAAATACAAGAATAATCATTTTGTGCTATTGGAAATCTTAATTACAGTTTTTTTAAAAAATCACTCAACCAGAATTCATCTACTTGGTATCCTTCATCATTTAAACCCCTCTAAAAATCAGAAAGTAAAAAAATCAACAGCCTCCAATCAGTTAAAGATAAATGCTATTTACTCTCAGAAGAGTCCCTCAGGCCCACTCAGTCATTGATATTTTATACCCATTTCTGACAAGTTTGATCTTAGCACGGAAATAAAAATGCAAGGTGCGTATCCTTCACTCCCACTGTTACCACCCCAACAACCACTACATTTCCTGACAGCAGAAGTGGCTGCATGGTTCCGGTGATCTTTCTCGCTGAGCCCACACATAGCCTCAGCCCAGCTTCCAGATCTCCCTGTGCAGTTACTGGGAGAGAGCAGGTAAGGGGACCCTATTGGTCATCTCTCCCATAAAGACTAGAAGCCCTCAAATCAGGGCTCCTCCTAGGGAAAGATTGTACCATTTGAGTACCCAAATGATAATAACTGCAATAAATAAAAACATGTCAAATGTTTTTAAAATCTATGACTTTATATAGATGCTTTTTTTAAAAAAATGATCACCTTTTGAGGCTATACTAACTCTTATTCTGAAAACAGATAAATTAGGAAGAGCATCAAGCATTTAATTTACCTTTCATATAAAAGATCCTCCTCAGGGAAACCATATAGCTGATGTGAAAAATTTCTTCAGCTAATAAAAGCATAAGTGATGATAGACTTGAATGTCCTTACTTTGAACCACTAACCAAAACATGGCTCTGGGCCGTGATAAATAATAGTGTCTAAAGCCTGATTGTGCAAAACGCTGTTGGGAAACTTTATCATGGATGGACCAGGTTGGCAACCCCCGAACTGCTGATGAATCTTAAACATCACAGAACAAGAACCAGCCACTGCATGCGCCCGGGTTTGCTCAGTAGGAACCATACAATGCTGCCTGCGGTGCCATCTATTAAGTATTCTAGCAAAAAAGCTGAATCTGATCAAGCTTCAAGGCCTAAACCACCTGTTCAAGGGAATACATGATCACGTTAAATGACACCATGGGGATATAATCTGCAAAATCCAGAATGCGAAAAATTCTACAAAACAAATGATCTCGTTTCCTCAATAAACAAATGGCAAGAAAAAGTCCTGGATTAGAAGATAAAGTGAGGTTACAGCCAGGCATATGAAAACCAGCAAGCAGTGAGAGACAACAGCAAGAAAGAAGACAGAAAAATGATGAAAAGCCATTCTGACTGCTGAAAAGGCATTTCAAGTGGCAGCCATGTGGTGTCAGGGCAAACCTGTATTACAAACCCAGCTTTGCCTCAGCCCCATTGTATGCTTGCTCCAGGGACAGGCATCTTTGCAAAAGTGACCCCGGTCATTAAGAAAATGTCAATAACTATGTTTGAAAGCTACAGCAATCTGTATTTTGCTAATACAGCTATGAAAAAGAAAAGAGCTTGGGGTGTTTGAATTCTGGATCAGATGGTCCAGAAATTCATTGGATGAAAAGAATTGAAAGCAGGGTCTCAAATGGATGGACCAGGTTGCCCACACCCGAACTGCTGATGAATCTTGAACATCACGAACAGAACAAGAATCAGCCACTGCATGCCTGTGTTCATAGGAATGTTATTCACAACAGCTAAACATAGAAGCAACCCAAGTGTTCGACAACAGATAGATGAGTAAGTAAACTCGCATTGAAAGCATAGCCATCACAAAAGTTAAATGACAGTTTCTAAGTTGTGTGGTTTTTGGTTTTGTTTTTGTTTTGTTTTTTTTTGTATGTCTTTATTGATTTCAGAGAGAGGAAGGGAGAGGGAGAGAGAGTGGTAGAAACATCAATGATTAAAGAGTCGTCATTGGTCAGCTGCCTCCTGCACGCCCCGGACTGGGGATCGAGCCCGCAACCCAGGCACGTGCCCTGACCGGGAATTGAACCTCTGTCTCCTGGACCCTAGGGTGATACTCAACCGCTGAGCCACGCCCAGTCGGGCTCTAAGTTTTTAAAAAATCAGATAAGAAGCATTCACACTATTCGTTGCCTTCCTGAGGATATAAGAAATAATAATGTCAGTTTGCCCCAGTCCAGCCTTCCTTCAGAAACCCCATGCCTGTCCTGTTCAGTCTCCACAGCTCTCTTCAGGACCCAGGTCTGGGGCAGGTACAAACACATTTACATACTCACTGTGTCAGGGACTCAGAGGCCCTACCGTCTCCCACACTATTGCCAAACCCCAGTGCCATCCAGCAGTTAGGAGGAAGAGAAGAGAATTCCATCTCTGCTTCAAAACCTCACAAGGCTACTTGGGGATAAAATTAAATATATCTGAAAACCTTCTTAAAATAAAACTTTTACCTAAAGCAAATGTTAATGTAACATCATTTTTGTGGTATATAAGCTATACTGAGGAAACTACCTTTAAAAAAAAAAAAGCCCATGCTAAAGAATACAAATGGAAAAGACTACATTTAAAAGCAGAAATCGGGGACTGGGACTAGATTCAGTCAACCCACTCGTTTTAACTCACATTATCTAAAATTCTTTATTTATAAATAAATAAATAACCAGTGAATATAGGGTGGTTTAAACAAATAAATAACAAACATGATCCCTGCCTGCACGGCACTTATCGTCAAATGGGAGGAAAATGAAAAGAAAGCAGAGTAATATGTAATGACACCTTGCAATGAGTTCAGTGAAGGCTAAACCGAGAGAAAAGTAGGAGGCGGGGCCACTTTGATGGGATGCCCAGAGAAGGTCTATCTGACGCGACATTTAAGCTCAGAACTGAAGAGAAGTTTAGGCAGAGAAAAGAGTGTGTGAAAGCGCCAAGGCACGAAGGGGCCGGGCATTCTGGGGAGCTACGGAAGGGCCTGGGTTGGCTTCCAGCCGGGGAGGGGAGAGCTGCTGGGTCAGGGTGGCCAAACATTGACGGCAGGGCAGAATGTTACATGTCAACCCGAACGCAAAGGGAAGCTTATGAAGGCTTTCAAGTAGAAAAGCTAATGGATCAGATTAACTATTTAAAGGCAAGAGAGGAAAATAGAAAGATGAGCTGAGTGGCTCCTACAATAGGCCAGAAATGCTGGTCGTCTGGACTATGATGGTGGCAGAAGAGGAGGGAAGCAGCAGGAAAGACTTGGAGGTAACTGGGAAATTGGGGTGAGGCAGGGGGAGAAATCAAGGATAGCCCTTAAGTGTCTGGCTTGAGCAAGTGGACAGGAGGCGACCACCATGCCAGACCTTGTTCAAGATCGAAGATGACTCACCGGACTCCCACGTGCCGTGTTCGGCGTTGGGCTGCACCAGCGGGTGCACCACTTTAATTCCACCAGGCGGCGCAGATGATGAGTTGAGGTTAATTCTAACCATATCCCTCCCGGTGTGTTTGTTAGCTATCCAAATTGTCTTCTTTCTCCATGTTGAGTAGAAGATACGGTCACCAAAAGAGGACATTGCAAACAAATTGTGCCTAAAAGACAACAGGAAAAACAAAGAAACCACATAAAGGATGGCAGAACGTTTCTTTCTGGGCTTATTAAAGTTTCACTTTGTTTCAATTTATTGTCTGAATTTTAATCACCTGCCTTTTCAATGATTTTTCTTTTAGGTTTAGAAACAGATATTAAGTTTAAAATTTTATTTAGGTAGTCATAATCTGAATTAATGAGGTATAATTTCTAGCTCCAGATTTATTGTCTCATTCTTTTGCAAATCAGCATGTAAGTGTGATGGAAATAAAATAAAGAAGAAAATAGGAAGAGGGTAAGAGCAGACTTCTGGTTTTGTCCATTTCGCACATGACTAATTTCTGCCTCTTGCCAGATGCTGGAGAGCTGGTTACTGGCAAGATGAGGAATCGAACTGTATGGCTTCACAAGTGCATGACCTAACAATCCCAGAGAGAATAACTATAACCAACATGTGAAAGCTTGTCATATGCCAAATACTCTGTTAATTTTTTTATTCATGTCTCTTTGCCTAACTTTCACAATAACCCCAAGAAATGGGGTTATTTTTATCCCCATATTAAAGGAAACTGAGGATAAGAGAAGTCATGTGACCTGCCCAAAGTGACTTGTCTAATAATCAGTAAATCTGGGACTTGAACTCAAGACTCCCAAATCTGTGCTAAACCACTATAACGGTTTAACTGGCAAAAGTCAAATTAATTTATCTCACAGACTTCAAATCGCAATTGTTTCATTTCACACCAAAAGCAAAACTTACTGTGCAAGATGTTTGGTGATGTGGACAGAACCTCCGTTATAATCACAGGAACAAATATAAGAATTGCTTCCTTCTCTGTTGTACTGAATCCAAAAGAGCCGCTTCTCAAGCACATCCAGGGACACAGCTGTTATTTTCTCTGATGTCTCTAACAGAACCTTCACTTCCATACTCTCGAGATCTGCTCTGTGGAGGCTGCTGGGCCCCTCTGAAGACCAAAACATAAACCTGAGGGCAAACACATTAATTAGACACATAATTGAATGTGAAGTCACTTAAATGGCCAACTTTCTCAGTCCCCAGGTGTCTGCATAGGACAAGCTTGACTATTTTGAATGAAAATTCATTTCAACAAATATTTATTGCCCTATTGTGGATTTTCCATGTGATTTCAAGTTAGAGGAGAATTATGCTTCTAACAGCATGAAGCCAAGGTAGTCAGGAGTGCAGTTTGTAGAGGGAGCCTGCCCTGGTTCAAATCCAGGCAAGTGGCCTATTGGTAATGGTGTTTCTGTACTATGAAGAGGGCAACGGTCTCAATGAGAAGGTCCCTGTGAGTCAAAATGTGATTCCATGAATTTTCATCAGATTTTGAAGTACATCTGTGTCCAAAAACAGCAGAATTTACCTTTCTACTGGATCAACTGCTACATTTGCAGGATATTTTAAGGTGCTTAAGAGAACACGGGAATTGTTTCCTTTCATATCTGTTATGGTAATGATTCCTTCCTGTTCATTTGACCAAATAAGTTCTTCATTTATCCAATTGATTGCCATTCCTGAAACATTTTTCTCTATATTGCATACTTTCTGTAAGAATCAGATTTCAAAATTGTTGTTAATATTTCTCCATTCACAACAAAATTATTTTTATTTCTATGTATAAAAACCTATTTTTTAAAGTACTTGTCATTTTTGTGCATTCCCAAAATTACTTTAATAATAAAATAATCACAGCTTCAGTGCCATTGTTTTGATGTGCCAGTGTTAACCCCCCATGTGAATACTTCTGGGCATAGTATTTAGAGCATAGCTTTGAAATGGAAAGTTATTCTATACTTATTAAAATTAGGCAATCAACCATAATGTAGTTATAATTTCAGCTATAGTAACAGTGGAATTTCAATGCCACCTTAAAGATAGTTTATTCAATTCCACTTGCTAATGGAATTTTCCAGATTCTCACCTGAACCCAATTCCAAGCTTTATCAAATTCTGACAAGATTCCCTTGGAGTCTGTGCACAGAGCTCTGGAGTAGATGAATTTCTCATTAGGGCCCCACTTTTCTTCTGGCCCCTCCTCCTCCATCAGTCCACCCCCTTTCGACAACCCCCAGTGCCCTTGCACTATGACCTTACGACCCAAAGAGCAAGCCTTCTCTCTATGTCTCTTGGGCAGTGTTTCCTGCTCTGTCATTTAAAAACAGCCCAACCAAAACCTCTGTTATCTCCTAATTCCAGTGCGTGCAGGTGAACTGGTCTTCTTGGGGGGTGGAGGGTGAGAGGTGGGGAGAAGCCTCAGTTGGAAAGTTGCAGATTTCCATGGTGCAAATAGTCCCACCATTGCTGCTACTGCCCTGACCTCACTGAGATCTAACATGCTCATGAGCCTGTATTAGTTATACTTCATAAACAGAGTAATCTGGTCAAACCACTTAACCAATTACTAATATATTAATATATAGCTCACCCAGGTAAATTGTTTACATTTTAATGGTTGTCCTTTATAAAGAATGTTTGAATCCAAAGGAGGGAATATAATAGTGGATTGTAGGCATCAGACAAATCCTTTCCTAATGACTTCACATAAATTCACAACTGTTCAATTTTTTTTCTGATTCTGTGACAGGAAACCCTCCAGATTCTTAGACTTAAGATTTTGAAACAATTCTGCAGGTGGCTGGAGAATAATGAGTAGCCATCCTTGTTAAAAGTGAGATTAGCAAGTATTAACGATGTGATAAAACAGATTAGCACCTAATTGAAGCTTTTAAGAATAATTGGAGAGAGAAGGTTTGGTTTAAAAAAAACACCCACATCACAACAGTGGGCACTTTGTGCAGGGGATAGATGCTTAAGGTTTCTCTGGTCTCGCGCTGGCTGTAATCTCCCCCAGGAACGGAGAGAACATTCCTCCTGGGACTCATTTAAGGGTTCTAGTTGAAAAGAAAGATTAAAGATCCTTTGTATGCACTTGAAACAAAATACTTTATATCTATCTGTTTTATTTTTATTTATTTTTTTGGTCAGAGTGCAGACTCCTTGAGAATACAAAGAAAGAAGTTTTTCTTCCTAAATAGCAGGTGCCAAAACCCACAACAGACATTTTAGATGAAACAGGGTTTCTCAACCTCAGCACCATCAACCTTTGGGGCTGAGCAATTCTTTGTTGTGGGGACTGTCCTGCGTATTGTAGGATGTCAGCATTCCTGCCTCTGCCCACCAGATGCCAGTAGCACATCCACCGCCCTCCCCAACCCAGTTGTGACACCCAGAAATGTCTCCAGGCATTGCCAAATGTCCACCGAGGGGTAAAGTTGTCCCCAGCTGAGAACCACTGGAGTAAAAAATAGTCATGTAAATAACCTGTTTTAACCATAAAATGGTGACTTGACTTAGTAAACTGACACATTTTCAAAATTACATTGACATCCCCACTTTCTACTTTGGGGAGCTTCTGAATATCAATGCCATATTCATGGACCTGTTCAATAAATGCCACAAATGCAGATTAAATAAATACCTACAAATGTCAGGCACACATTTGAATTGTGATGTCATTTTCATTTATCTATATGTTGTCAATTAACCATATCATGTTTGCCAGCCTATGCAAAATTCCCCCAATACCTTAGAAATTGGTACTTTACCTCTTGTCTTGTCCCATTCAGAAAAACTCTTTGCAAAAGTTGTCTTTCTAGATCTACCCAATAGAGTCTTTCATTATTGTAATGAAAATCCATGATCACCGATGTGCCAGCATCTGCCACCAATTTCTCATGATTGGTTCCTTCCAGGTCAATCCTAAAGATACTATTTCCATGCGAGAAAATTAAGAAGGGTGCAGGACCTGAGTGGGAAGAAAGAAACCAAACTGTGCATTTGACAACTAACACAGTATGAATTTTTAATTCCTTGTTTTATATTTTAAATAAAGACTATTATTAAGAGAATAACGAGTTTCTATACATGTTCACAATTAATTTTGTAAATTATCTTCTCCACAAATTGATTGTAAACAATGAACATTACCATATTATGAAAAAAAGAACTATTTGAAGAGAAAAGCACTTTCTTCCCTTATCTATAAAGTGACATTTTATGTTGAAAGAAAAACAACCTACTGTATTCTACTGCAGAAAGGGTCTATGTGAGTGTAAATTTTAATTATGTAAATTGGAGATAATATTACAGATATGATCATTTTCTAAATGGACCCCTCCGCCCCCCAGTCTTACTTATGAACAGAGCCTTCAGGGTAATGACCTGGAAGAAGATGGTGAAAACTAGAGGTCTTAAGTGCAAGCAGGAAAAACTGAAATGCTGTCCTGTGAAGCTCTGAAATATTTTGTCCCTGTTAGCATCCCCATATAAAATACAGGATGCTCAGTCAAATTTGAATTGCATAGACATTACGTGGGACATACACTAAAAATCATTCACTGTTAACCTGAAATTCAAATTTAACTCGGTGCCCTATATTTTGATTTGCTAAATCTGAGTGGCGCACCCCGCCGGATCTCCTGATTCCTGCAGGGCCTTGCCGTGTTCCCTAACCCTATCCCTGGGGTGCCGTCCTGTTTCAGGTGATGGCCACCTACCCACTCGGACTCCCAAGCACTTAACACCTGTTTGAGAACCTGATACCTCTCTTTGGAAACCTCAGCATAAATTACTAGCTGATTCCATGGAAAGCTTGCCTTTGATGTTCCAAGATGCTGCCAAGGGAGAGTTTCCTCCCCTGTAGCCAGGTTGGTTTCTTTGGTTTCTTCTGCCTGAGGGTGAGGGGTGTCTTGCCACTCTGCCTTTGGATTACTAAACAACTACTGGGATGGGTGGGGATTGGACACAATTCTAACATAGTCTTGCTTCCCTGCTGGGCTCACTCCACTCTGTTTTCACATTACACTTTAATACCTTTATGTCACTTAATACGTGTATTTATTATTCCAAGGATTAAACAAGATGATGAATTAACAACATACTATATGTATTTATTGTTCCAAGGATTAAACAAGATGATGAATTAATGACATTTTACTCAGAAACATTAACTCTACTTTAAAGGATATGTCAAAATAGAGCATAAGAAGTATAAGATCGTTAGAGTTTGAAATCGGTGCCAGTGTAAGTGTTGAAGAGAATTAGCTCCAATCACTCTTCCCATATCTTTTCCACACACACACCCCCCCCACACACACACACACACAGATGTGTAGGAGAGCCCAGTCCTCATCGACACTCCAGGTGTAGAATCTCAGGAACCATAGAAGGAATGGGAAGAGCCCGCAGGCCTGGTTTCCAGTCCTGGCTCCATTAGCTCTCTGGACACCGCAGGACCTCCCTGCCTGTAGCAGAGGGTTACTGGGGAAATAAATGAAATTATAGATATGAAAATATTTCACTAATTGTGGAGCGCTACACAAATGTGATTCATCATTGCTTGTTCTCACAGCCAAGGTCTCACTGTATAAGCTGGTGCCAGGGTTCAGGTTTGAACCCAGGGGCTGGAATGCTGGCATAGCTCACCTCGCCCGGAGCAGTGTGTCACGGGGAAGGGAAGGCAGGCAAGGCACCCAAACCGAGAGCTAACTTGTGGGCCACCGATTGCTGTGGAGTCCTCTCTTTGAAAGGTGCATCATGCATTCTCTATAAACTAAATAAAGGTTCCCAACACATATCATTCATTTCCTAATGCGCTGTTACATTGATGAGATCAAGAAAACACTATAGCCATTTAAAAGTATAATTAAATAGGAGAGTTCAGGTTTTAAAAAAAGGAGAAAGGAAAGTTACTCTAAACATTTTAGTCAGAACATAGCATAATGCTTTGTACATAATAGGCACATAATTAAATTTTTAAAAATTAATTAATTAATTAATAATTGTATTTTGTTTATTTGTCTGGGCTTTTACCAATAGGAACAAAGCCAAAGGTACTAGCATATCTATCAAATTCATAAAAGCAGAGTCTATCCTACGGTAGTTATGTTACTAACAGCAATAATAATAATAATAATAATAATAATAACAATAACTACCACCACAGACTTTCACCTCCTGACCTCATTTATCTTTAATATAACACCATGAGCTAGATGGGCCAGATTTGACTGCCATAAGTAAAAGAAAAAAGAGAAATCTGAAGGATACTTAGATCCATAAAACACAAACCATAGCATTAACTTCAGTAAATTTTTAAAAAAATAAATAAAGAATACTTATAAAATACTAAGTAGGAATTTTTCCCTACTCACTGTGAATTACAGCATCCAGGCTTTATCATAGCCTCTTAGAACCAGAAGATCCTAGTTATTACCTAATCCAGTGTTGCCCCCAAATTGTTTCTTCAGAGAAGTCCCACAGGGTAGTGTGTGTGTGTGTGTGTGTGTGTGTGTGTGTGAGAGAGAGAGAGAGAGAGAGAAAGAGAGAAAGAGGAAAAGAGAAAGAGAGACTTTTGCAGATCCCTTCTCTTGAGAGTCTAATTCAGTGTGGCTGGGCTGAGGGCTGAGAATCTATTTCTTAATAAATGCTCCAGGTGAATCTTATATCTTGGTGCATTTGGAAATCCTAGATCTAGTTCAGAGGAGAACATTTAATAATGTTTAATAATGGTGGAGTTGGAATTAGAACCCAGAAACCACCCTCCCGATCCAGTACTCTCCTGCCTTGGTCGGGGTTGTCATATGTCAAGATGTTGCTATCTTCATTGTATTATGTAACTGGTTTTAATTCCACTTCTGTCAAAACACCATTCATTTTTCCTACACTATCAGCATCATTTTATGTAAACCGGGGCCTGGGCTGAGTATTTGTAGACAGGAACTGCTTACAAATGTAATACGATCTAAAAGAAAATGAAAGATTGTGAATTAGGCTTGGTGAAACGGTCATGATTCTGTACTACCACTAACTTATTCTGGTAAATAAGTTGGTGTTCTTTCAGACCTGTCAAAGGCTATAAACATCGCTGTGGTACGTGCAGGGATTTGAATGTCAGCAGGGTGTGCATGTTTGAACAGCTAAACGTTCCCATGTCAAAACCTACGGCATTTATTCTGGGTACAGTTCAGCAGGAGGAAAGTGCATAGAAAATCAAACATCATTTCTAAGGATGACAACCCCAAGGACAGCAAACAGGTCACAGGAAACCAACTGGAACCTCTGATTTCTCAACCTGGGGATTAGGAGGGGATCTCCAGGAATTACAAAGGAGCCCAGAAGGTTTGGAGCGTAGTGAGGAGTGTTATTAGTGACTCCCAAGAACAGGGGCCTTCGGGGCTTGGAGGTCAGTGACGAAAAGGCAGGCTCTGATTGAAGTGGGTGGTGGACACGGGACATTTCACAACAGGCATGTTTTCATCTGCTCTGAGTCTGTGGGTGCGGCTCCACATAGGTAAGAGAGAAAGGAAATGAACTGTCTTCTGCAGACCTTGGGGCAAATGCTAATCAGATGTACTGAACACATAAATGATGGTGGCAACCAGAGCAACAAGAAATCCTAGTCTCCTCTCAGGCCAACACTGCCATCTGCCCTCCCTGCGCAGGTTCCTGCTCTAAATCTGGACCCAGACTGAAGGCTTACAGGACGAATACGGTGAAAAGGGAGCTCTGGACCTTCAGGAGTCAATGACCCCATGAAAAAAAGATGTGGAGTTAAACCAGTGGGCCTGATGGAGGAAAGCCTGAGGCCTCCTACACAGCTCCTCCCGAGGCCTAATGGGAGTCACGTATTACTGCCTCCCAAGGGGCTGACCTGAATGATGTCTTGGATTTTATGAAGTGCAGAAAGTTTTCTTTCACTCTAAAAGACTATTCCCATTTCTTTTCTTTTTTCAATTATGATACTTAAAGGGGCACACATTTACTTCTTGAGCAATCATACCTTTCCTCTCAGCTTATCCCTGAGTGTAAAATTCAGAGCAGGTGAGACAGAAGCCAGGTGACTCGAAAATAACCCATTCAGAATGGGGAGCCAGGAAATGTAAATTTAAATCTTAACTCTGTAAGGCAAGCTCTGGGGCTCAATTTTGCTACCTGAAAATTGCTCATGAAGATTGCCACCCTAGTCCCTGAGTGGTAGAAATGTGCCAACCAAAGCACAAATAGCCCCTACCTGCCCCTCGTTATCAACCGCATTCTCGTTACCAAGCCCAAGAAGAGGCCTGCTCCCAGGCTGTCAGCATGGTACCTGACACAGGCAGGTTCTGCACAATTGTGTTTTTCAACAGGACTTCTCAGAGGCTTTATGGCACTGTTGCACATTTTGATTCTCCAAGAAGGTGTGTGGTGAATAGTACCAGAAGAGTAATAGCCATCATCTATGTGTTATCTGCAAGGAATATATTCCTTGCATTCCTTGACTGTCGCACTTCCAAAGCATTATTTCACTTCCTCGGGTAACACTACAGGAGGTAGGGGCTCTCGGCATCTTCATGTTACAGAAGCAGCAGCTGAAGTTTAGGGCAGTTCATTGCCACAGTCACATGGCCAATAAATAACAAAGTGGGGGTTTAAAGTCATGTCTTTCTGATCACGGATTCTAGCTTTTAAACACCATGCTGCTTGTCACAAACTGAATTCACCTGGAGCCCTTACTGTTTAGTGTCTTGTAGTTCAACTGTGTGAAGGACCCCACTTCAGGAAACACAGTTCTGGGGATGTTCACCACAAGGCCGATTCTCTGCACCCACATTCCAGGAACTGATTAGAAAGTGGGTCCCTTTAAGTGGGGTCCTATAATTACATCACCTAGATAATGTTATATCTAATTCCATGATATATTGAATTTCAAATATAATATATTCCTTGCATCCCTTGACTGTTGGCCCCTTTCTCCATCTCCAAAGG